TTTAAAAATTTTCGGCCATTTGGTATCCTGTACCAAGGCCAATAACTATTCAAAGTTTGGAAGAAATGGGTGCAGCGGTTGCCAAGATACACACACATTATACCATTTTCGTCTAAAAATTATTGTAAATATCAATTTTGAGTGAATAATCTTCAGTAGTTACTAAAATATCGCAGTTTTCGTATTTCTGAAAATTACCGTTATATGGGAGGTAGGCGTGGTTATTTTCCGATTTTGCCCATTTTCAAAACCATCCGTCCTATGCCCAAAAGAAGTGCACGTACCAAGTTTCGTTAAGATATCTCGATTTGAACTTGAGTTATCGTGTGCACAGACGGACGGACAGACAGTCACCGCTCAATTGATTTCTCTTTTCATCCTGATCATTTATGTATACATTTGTCTATATCTATCTCGATTTGTTTTGCCTGTTACAAACAACCGCTATGTGAACAAAGTTATAATACCCTTGTGCACAAGTGCGCTCGGGTATAAAAATTAAAACAACTGGAAAGGATTAGGGTAACTGCAAAGGTAAGAAAATTTAACAATTTAATTTTTTAAGTGAAACTTCCCTAGCGGCGGTTTGTTGGTTGGGAGTAAAATGGAAAATTCAACGGCAATGATGCATACGGAAATGGTTGGGACGGAAATGATTGCAATGGAAAGAAGTGATTCTTATACTATGCATGCACATGATATTAATTTAACAAAAACGTGCAAATAAGCGGTTTAAAAATAAGATTTAGATTAAGATCAACACAAGAATGATCACGTCATCACTTTTCATCTTCATATTCACCTATATGAGGGAAAAGGATAAAAGCAGAGATAAATTTAAACACTTTACTTTTCTAAGGACAAAGAGGAGGGTGAATATGTATGTATATGAAAGATTAAAGATATAAATATCAGGATAAAGGAAAGAATAAAAGTAAAGGCAAAGGAAAACAGATTAAGATAAATGTAATTATGACAAAAAGGGTATAGGTAGGGATAAATATAGAAAAAAGATAAAATATAACCTTTAGCTTATAACATATTAACTAGCCTGTTGTTAAACGAAGTTTTTGAAATTTTCAAAATTTAGTGAATTCCAAGGTTATATAAGTTTATTGAGTTATCACTGCTTATCGAATTTTATCATGCTACCAGAGAAATTAGTCGATAGCTTTCGCAAAATATGTGAATATCCAAATTAACCGAGGTATCAAAATTTATAGAATTTATATACATTTTGGAATAATACAAATTTATGAAGTTAGGTTAAGGGATTTTAGGTTTTTTGAAGTTTATTGAATTGTCGGTATGTATCAAATTATCGAAATTTATCCAAACTGGAATGTATCGGGTATATTCCAAGTCCTGCCAAAGATATAAAAAATTGAAGTCACGTTTAAGTTCCAAAGCAGGAGATTTTCCGGTAAGCAATTTTGTATATTATAAGTAAAATAACAGAAGAACGTCGAATTTAGACAGTACGTGTTAATATTTATCAACTGGTTTCTAGGTAGATGCAAGATCGCATTTAGGGTGCATGAGGGCGTCAGGCAAAGGTGCGCTTACACAATTTTGCGATCTTTCTATGCATACTTAACCCCATCCTTCATTTAGCCACCTAAACACTAAATTCGTATAACTTAAATATAGGGCCAAAGCAGATCAAACACGCCATCCATTGGGCCCAGTTTCTGCAAACCCTGCTTATCATAAAATGAAAATGTATTATGAATTTCAACCAGATTGTATAAAAAGTACGAATTTTCAAAAACCTCGACTCTAGCGCCACCCAGAATTTTTCATCATACAAGTACATAGCTAACATTTAAATTTTGAACAAAATCGGTTACTAAATGCGACTTTTATAAATAACCTTACTGCCTAGCGAGATTTCTAGTAGCATATAATAGGACTATATATGCAAGATATAACCTCCAACAATTTGACGGAACTCTATCTCGCTTTTGAGTTTAGCCATAAAAAAACCGCTATCATTTTATAAATATACTTAGGTATGCAGATAGGACCGTCTATAACGAAACTTCTAAAAATCAAAGCTCCAAACTTTGTGCAAAATTAAAAAAAAAGTTATCTTTTACTAGAAATTAAAAACAAAGTCAATGCGATTTAGAATTGTAGGGGAAAATGGCTCCCAATCAAATGATACTTAACCGTTTATGTAAATGTATATAGATGCAGCCTTTCCACTTTCGCCATAAGTACAGTATTGATAACATAGTATGTAGCTGTGCCGAATTTCAGGGTGTTAGTATAAGCAGTTCCAGATATAAGCGATATGAGAATTTTTGTATGGGAGGTGTCACGCCACCTTTTCCAAAATCGACCACTTTTCGCAGTAAGTACGGTATTGATAACATACCCATATGAAAATGTGGAAAGCGGCCGTAATTTTAGTCCGATTTCAATAATTTTCAACGTTTTGCTTTTATGTGGAAAGCACAATAACCATACCCAGTTTGGTACAAATTGGTAGAACGGTTACCGAGATACATATATGTGATCATAATGTTATATGGGATGTGGGCGTGGTTATTATCCGATTTTTAAAATTTTCGGTCATTTGGTATGCTGTACTACTGTGTCGAGTTTGGAAGAAATTGGTGCAGCGGATACCAAGATATACTCATGTAACCATAAGTGGGCGTGGCTAAACCCGTTTTGCAAAAGTTTATAATATTCTTATTTTTAGTCTAAAAATTAATGTAAATATTAATTTTGAGTAAATAATCTTCAGTAGTTACTAAAATATCGCAGTTTTCGTATTTCTGTAAATTATCCTTATATGGGAGGTAGGTGTGGTTATTGTCCGATTTTGCCCATTTTCAATACCATTCGTCCTACGCCCGAAAGAAGTGTACGTACAAAGTTTCGTTAAGATATCTCAATTTTTACTCGTGTTCTCGTGTGCACAGACGGACGGACGGACAGACAGTCACCGCTTAATCGTTTTCTCTTTACATTCTGATCATTTATGTATAGATTTGTCTATATCTATCTCGATTCGTTTTGCCTGTTACGAACAACCGTTATGTGAACAAAGTGCGCTCGGGTATAAAAAGACTTACGTTACAAATAGTTTTGAAGCGAAAACACATGGATAATGAAGAGTATAGGCAACTGCTTTATTGTGAAGAAGGCCGAAAATGCTCGAGAAACCCAGATTTCTCCATCTTTTAGCCTGGTGGATTCCGCGGCAAAGAACTTTATGATATTTTGGACCTTAGAAAACGATACCGAATTTGTTTTCATTAAGAAAGTTAATCACTGATTATTTGGTCGAATACTTTTTTACTAACTTCAAAGTAATACAAGACAATCGAAAAATGGTGATCTTTAAATATAAACAACCCCTAATTTCATGTTGTGCTTTTTTAATTTTCATTAATTTAAAGGTATCTCAGGATTGAGTGAATTCGCGTTAATATTTATATTGTCTGATACCTCAGAATATGAATGACTCAGGTATAATAAAAAATCTGCGAAACCTGAGCAAAAATAAAATTTGCCCCTTGTTTTCGTTTTCGGCGGTTTGGGCCATATGCTTTTAATTGTTTACACTTTATATATAGGGTCCGAGTTTACTCTCGACGGCCCTGCCTTTGTGGTCAGCTGATTAAGTTAAGTGACATTTTGACCAGTTTTGGTTTTTTCTTTTGTTTATTTAAGGTTTATAGTTTTTTTTTATAAAAGTCTAGCATATTATATAATCAGAACAACATAAAACCACATTTAAAACTTCGTACAAAAATTCAGCAAACTTCAACAATTACACCCAAAAATGTACAACTTTACTATCTAGATATGCCCATTAAATTTAAGTAGGTAAAAGTGAAAAAAGACGCTAAGAAATTTTTTTTGGCTGACGGTGCTAGGCAAATTCCTCTTCTTCTTGAATTGGCCCCTACTTCGCTACTTATAATTTTTAATAACTAATATTTAATATGGACCACACTAAAAGCTCCTTTTCATATAAATATTCGTACGTGTCCCACCCGCGACAGAGGAATTTCGAATTTTTTTATATTAAAGCATAAATTTTTGTTGTAGTTTTTGCTTTGTTTGTATTCGTAGTTCTTTGTTTTATTATTAGACATCAAGTTCACACAGAAAAGTGAAATAAAGTCGCAATTTCCGTAAAATAGATCTGCTTCAAAAAGCCGGGTCTTTTTTTTGTCCCACCCGTGACAGAAGAAATAACTCAGATTTTTTCATTTTAAAAGTAAGCTGCAATTTTTTTCGTATTTTGTTATAACTAGGGACTTAAAACCTTTAAAAAGGCAAAGGCCTGTAACGTGGCGCCTAATTTAAATATGGAACATTTAAAGCTTTCATATTATCAGTAGTACGGGCTTTTTCTTTGCCCTTTACAATTAAAGGTTGAAAAGGCAAAAAAATGCAAAAAAGACAACACCGAATGTGCATGTTTGGAATCAGGGAAAGCTAAATCGTGGACATTCTTAATCGAATATACTCTATCTCTTTAGCAGAAAAAAGGTATTTTCTATAAAATCCGTTCCCTGATAATAAGTCATATACTAGCCAATTAGGTGCAGCTTTATCAAAATGAAAAATTATTGAGTATTTAATACTTGAATATAAAAAAGAAATAACATTTTTATTGTACAAATGTCCCACCCGGTGACGATGGAATCGCCCATACGTAAAACTTTCTTTCAACACTTTTATTGGGGTCACTCGGGACCTCATGCGACTAATTGTGTGATTTTCTTTATGCACCTAATTAAGGGTTAAAATTAACTGTTCTTTTGTAGAGATGCCTATAAGAACATAGATTCCGACAAATCGGCATAAAGCTCTCCGTTTAAAGGTTTAACAAGAACAAAAATCCAACCTTTTAAAAGTTTACCATAAAGCAAAATCTTTTAAGATTTAAAATTTTACTTTTATTTTGTTTTTTGCAACTTGATTATTCGCAGCCATTAAATTTATTCGTACACGTTTACAAGTATATATTAAAACAAACATCAAAGATGTCTAAAGATGATACTCGTACATAATAAAAAGTTATTGCAAATCTAAATTTATAATTTCATCAACTTTCTGCTCTCCGCCCCAGGATGTGGCTCCACTCGTCATCGCGGCTTTAGCCAATTGGCAGTGGCACGTGCGGCAGTGGATTACATTGTGCTGCAAAGCTCTTCGCTGCATTGCAGGGTTGATCGTCTTTCCACATCTTGGCGGGACAGTGGATGAAGGTTTCGGCGTTTACACAACTGTACATTATGCTGGCAATAGGTGAGCAACCCATCGGCAGTTTGGCGTACGTTTTGATACCCATTGCTGCCATGTGACCCTTGACTGTTGGCAATTGGGAAAAGGAAAAAGTTGTAGGGGTATTTTAAAGGATATGTACAAAATATGCAAAAGTGTTCGTATTTATAAGCGTAGAAGTTGTTGTTGTATTTCAAACTGCTACGTTGCAAAAATAAATACCGAACCAAAAAGAATAGAAATATTAAATTTAATTTCCTTCTTAAGCAAATGTCAGATTTCGTCATGATATCGGCTTATGAATACGCATTTCTTAGTTTTTCTATATTGTTTTTATATTTTGTGGGCTACGTACTATTATCCAGGCATGCCTCGAAAGAGCGCACAATCTGCGGCACCATATCCTTGTCGCCTTGAGTGACACTTTTGTTTAGGAATTTTTTGACATTTTCCAAATTGAATTCATTTTTGACCATAGCACCTGTCTCACGATAAATACACTCCGGATAGCACTGCAACGGCGAAAAGATATATATACATATATTTTAATTCATTGTCAATGAGTTGTTGTATTGCAACTGCGAATCTGCGTAGCATTATTGTGTATGCAAATTATGTATGTGAGTACACGAAACGACTTACAGCGTGGGCATAAGCTGGATATTCAAATTCTGCAGCAATCGGAGTACTTTTACTCTTTTCGTTTTTGTTATTTTCATTTTGGCTAATGTTGTCTTTTCCACTCACAATCTTCGTTTGCAATTTGAGTGCGTTGATATAAGTATTGCACTTTTTGGGCA